AGGCTGATTGATTGAAGATGAGTCGATACAAGAAGGGTTTGCATCGATGCATGGTAATTTCAAGAGTCAGGATGAGTCGGCCGGTGAGGTGCATGTGTCGATACATGCTGTGATTTAAAGCCAGGATGAGTCGATCCATAAGGAGGATGTGTCGACTCATAGTGAATAGATGAAGCAGGATGAGTCGATCCATAGGGTTTTGCGTCGACCCATGTTGTAAAGGAGAAGCAGGATGAGTCGATCCATAAGGTTTTGTGTCGATACATAATGTCTGGTTTTTGACAGAATCGGCTTTTAATTACTGTAACTTAAGTTTTAGGATGCTGTTTGAGATGTCGTTCGAAGTGTTGATTAACTAACGCGATGAACTTTATTCTAGATGATTAAATGAAGAATGAAAAGTGTAATCCTAGAAGATAATTCAGGATTTAGAATTAATTCCCGTAGATGACCGTTGTGCTGATTTTTGGACAGAATGATGAATAGTAGATGTTTAGAGGATGCTGTTAGAATTACGACAGTAGGATTAGTGACAGTAACGATATAAATTAGCAGAATAACATGATGGATTACTGTACTATTAATATACAGTTGAGTATTAGTGAGATGTTATTGATGAAGTTGTGTTCGATGATTTTGTGATAATAAATGATGTTTAATAAATTATTTTGATGTTATGAGATGTTGTTAATTGAGATGTTTTGAGATGATTTAGATGTGGTGGTTTTGAGATGATTGAGATGTTGTTGTTTTGAGATGATTGAGATGTTGTTGTTTTAAGATGATTGAGATGTTGTTATTTTGAGATGTTGTTAAATTGAGATGTTTTGAGATGATTTGAAATGTTGTTAACTTGGGTGTTATCATTACATTCATGGTTGAGTCACATACATTGCATTTTTTTGAGATGGAGCCTATGCTCGTTGAGATGGCCTGGATTAGAAAATTTTGAGATGAAGGCTATGCCTTGTTGATGCCTCTATTAATTGGCAGATTTTTGAGATGAGAGTTTTGCTCCAATGGTACCACATGCATTTGCATAGTATTGAGTCGCATTATATGATTTCATAAAGAGGTGTGTTTTGATGTTGATGAATGTATATTATTGTTGAGATTGTCGTTGATTATGAGATGAGAAGTGGTGATACTGTTGACCTAATTTAATATATTAATTATCATGCACTTTATTATATTGTTAGATATCTCACCCCTTCTGTTTGAATGTTGCCCTTATGTTGATAACGTGCAGGTAATCGTGAGTGAAGGCTGTTTACCTTCAATAGTTTGAGTCTGTGTCATTGCTCTAATATGTAACACTCGGGGGGATGAACGCTTGCTGTTTTGATTGATGATTTTTAGATGTTGAATTTCAATTTGATTATGACTTATGAGATGATTCGAAGTTGCTGAATTGTTAGAGATGTTATTAAGAATTCCGCTGCGTAGTTGTTGAATTATTTTATTAAAGATGCTATGTTGATGGTTCATCCGATGTTTTATTAAAAGTTTTATATATCCATGATGAATGCAATGAATTTGTTAGAAGAATTTGTGACGTCCCGATTCGGTGTATGAATGAAATTTTATAACTCTGATTTATTTTGCATAATTGCTTGGGATAGAATTGGGGTGTTACATGGATGATCCGGAGGCGGATTTCTCATCAATCTGCGCTGACAACCCATTAGATGTTTAATTTTTCTTCTTTTCTTCTTTATGCATTTCTCTATTTGTTGTGTTTTTTTTGTAGATTTACTTTGAATATATGTATATGTAATGATCATGATGTTGTATAAAGCTTGCTTTACAAATCATTCTTGATGTCTTCTTTGATCTTTTTGCATTTATGTTTGAGTTTGGGTTGTTATAGACATATACCTCACAAATATTAATTAGGGATGGATATCTATTAGGTTCTAGATTCTAGAGATAGATTTAAAATTAATAATCACTGTGGCTATCAGAGCTTAATGCCTCCAGGTTTGTATTGTGCGGAGAGATTGTCGACACGAGTAATAGAATGTCTTCAACTCTGCGTTAGACATAACCATTGTTGTAGTATATCTCGAGAGATACTTGAATATTTTGATGAGTATTGTTGGTTAAGTGTAACTGATCGATAGGTTTAAGTTTGTGACGAGTAGTGTAAATTAATGCCTGATAAGTTTCTCCTCTCTGAACAATGTATTTTTTTCTTCATGTTAATAGTTTTTTATTTCTATACAAACCAACCTAATTAAATCCAACTCATAAACAAGGGAAATTGTCAAACGACAATTCAGTAGCACTAATCCCTGTTGAAAGCACGGGGAGCCACAAAACTGCTGGCATTTTCATACCTGAAATATAAAAAACAACAGAAACCCTAACTTGAATTCTATCTCATTTAAACTTCAAATCTCAAGCTAGAAATCTTCATCGGCATTGACGCACCACAAAAAAATAAGGGTCACCATCAAATATTATTTATCCCAAAGGGAAGGAAAAACATCGAGAAAACCTCAAAAGGAAGGATAAGATGATCTTGCCACCAATGTACTAGTTTGGAAGTTGGTTATGCAAAGGAAAGATATTATAACCCCTCACATCTATTGTACTCAACGGGATCCACTTCGGTTATTTGTTTCTAAGGGTGTGTATATCAAAAGCTATAACTTGCTAAGAAATGAATGAATGAATTAATGGGAAAAAGAAAAGGTTTTTATTATCGAGTTTGCCCAGATTTTGCAACTCAGTGTCTTTGTATCCTTATAGTGAAATGAAGAAATCAGAACTCTGTAGTTTGTCTAAAAAATGTTGGTTTTTAGGTGTTTTTTATGGACAATGTTAACGCTCATTCTCTAGCAATAGGAAAGCCTGTATTGCGGTAGAACGGAAATAACATGCCCTTTTTGAAAAGATTCAAGAGAAAAGCCAAGAGGAAAAAAATGTTTGAATTTTTTGAAGTGTTTTGTTAGGAGACACATCAAATGGTCCCTTAAGTTTGGGGGTATTTGAGTATATTCTCCTTTAATCTTGAAACTTTTTGAGATACATATTATACTAAAGTCTATGAAATGAAAGAGGATACTTTGTACAAATGAGCCAAGCGTCTCACATACAAAAATTCTCTCCCCATTTTCTTAAGGCTCATGGCGTATTATACGTATTGTATTTATTAGGTATTTTGGTATTTGATAAAGAAAAGAAGTTTTTGTTTTTTAAAGAAATAAATGAGATGCAAAAGGAAAGAGAAAAAGAAAAGGGATTTCAATCCTAATTGCTGTCATGTCATATGGACTTAAAATTAATTTTGAAGGGAAACTTAATCCTAATGTTGTTATTCTCGGATTCAAGCTTAATGCCTAACTTAATCCAATTTAATCAAAGATTAAAATTAAATTGTTGAAGCTTAAGGGACCATATGAGCACACAAGCACAATAAGTATCAAGAAAATTAATCATCAAGCACCATCAAAATCACCAAGAAAAGTCATTAAGAACATGGCACAAATATGATTAAGCATTAACACAAAAAGAAAATAATAGAAAATGGCAAAATAAAATTCCTAAAAACACAAATCATGACATTTCTATATTTTTATCATTTTTTCATGAAAAGAATTATTAAAACAAAAATCAATTAACAGAAAAGAAAATAAAATCCAAATAATGCAAGTAGGGGGTATAGCGATGGATCAAGATGTTTAATGAAGTAAAATAGTAAAGGCTCAACGGTTCAGGTCCAATAAACTTATTTTTTGTTTCAGCTTTCCAGTTCAAACAAAAAAATGACAAAAAATTCTTTTGTTATTTAAATCGTATGATGAATTTTTTTTTATGGTTCTATTATTTTTAAATCTATTTATTACTATATTTTTTGTTTCTATTTCTTATTAGTAACTATTTTTAACCATTGTATATAACATCCCCACACAAAGCTTTGTATATTTTTTTTTACAATTTCTAAACAAATAATTTCTAATATTTTAGTGTAGTCTTAAAATTCACTAATACCACACCGTCAAAACCATCTTCATCAATTCCCTCACTTTAAAAACCGGAACACAACATTTAGCATAAATCTATTATAGATTTTTATGTCAAACAACTTTTTGCATAAACTTTCTATAGATTTATATCTCAAATACAACCACAGTTCTTCATCATTGTCTCAAAAGTAGTTTTAAACCTCTTCACAAATACATAGTCCAAATAATATTTCAAACCCTGCAAATTTTCATCCGTACAAAACTTTTGTGCACAAATTTACAAATTTTACAATCTTCATTAAATCAACACAAATTTCAAAACCTCAGACAAAAAAATCAACAATAATCGTGGTTAGCATCAATACAACCAACGCAGAGGAAAAAAAAATGAAACTTATCGTTGTTGTCGCCGTAATTGTGTAGTTTTATTTTTTTTCCTTCCTTTTGTCGTTTTTTGGATCTTGCTTTCCGGTTACTGTTGAAAAGAGAAGGAAGAAGATTAAAAGAAAATAAGAAGCACAAATAAAATAAAAATCAATCACTACCTTGAAACCCCCCACCGTAACTACGACGATCTTAGCCACACACCACGACAGACAAAACATCACCACGACTTCCCGGCCATGCTCAACCAACGAAGCACTGCACGCGGTGTTCTTCCCTCCGATCCGTCAGCCGCACGCGCGAGATCTACCACACCCAACCCTTGTTAGTTCTAAACCTCTTTTGGCTCCCATGTAAGTCTTATATTCCTTTTTGATTTCATAATTTTATGATGGTTATTAGTTTTGTTGGTTAAATTTAAATCTTGGGTAGTACAAAAGGAAGATTCCCTTTGGACAGTGGGAAGTTTATTCCTTACGGACCTAGAAATAGTTAATATTGTAACTTTTATTATTCTATCTTGTGATTTTCTATATAAATCACTTTGTACTCATATTGAAAGTTAGTAGGACATTTTATAAAGAAAGCAGTTTAAAGTCCACTCTCAATTTTCTCTTCAATATCTTCAAATTGGTATCAGAGTGCATGGCAAATATGATGGGTCAAATGCCACTTCCACGACTATCAAAGTCGAATTATGAGAACTGGAGTATCCAGATGAAGGCGCTGCTGGGATCGTTAGATGTATGGGAAGTAACTAACGACGGGTTTGAAGAACCATCAAATACGACGACAAACACAGCTGCTCAGAACAAGGCATTGAAAGAAACACGAGCAAATGATAAAACAACATTATACATGCTGTTCAGAGCAGTCGACGAGTCAGTTTTCAAAAAGATTGCTGGTTCGACTATGTCGAAGGAGGCGTGGGACACACTAGAAAAGGCTTTCAAAGGCGAAGATAGAGTCAAACAAGTTCGATTGAAGACTCTTCGAGGAGAAATGGTGAGAATGAAGATGAAGGATACATAGTCCATATCGGACTACATCACTCGTGTGCAGACGGTGGAAAATCAACTCAATCGAAATGGAAAAGCAATGACTGATGCTCGTATTGTCAAAAATATTATGAGATCTTTGACAGACAAGTTCGAAAACATAATACGCGCAATAGAAGAAGCGAAGGACCTATCGAAAATCACTGTCGAAGAAGTGGCTGGTTCGCTGAGGCACCTGAATAGCGCAAAATAAAGAAGAAGGAGGGGGCACTTGAGGATGCATAACCCAACAGAGACGAAAAGGCACTATTCTCTCAAAATTGGCGTGGGAGAGGACATGGTCGTGGAGGACGTAATGATGGTCGAAGTTACTAAAATAACAACTTCGACAAAGGACAATCAAGCCAACAAAACTGGCGTGGCAGAGGACGTGGCTAGAGAGGTGGTAGGTCGAATTACAACAATATTGAATGTTACAAATGTAACAAACAGGGGCACTATGTGAAAGATTGCAACTCCTACAGTTGCTACAATTGTGGTAAAATGGGACATCTTGCAAAAGATTATCGACTCAGAAGAAAGATAGAAAAAACAAGAAATCTTTCCCTAGAAACAGAATCGAATGCAGGATTTCTGTTAATGACTCAAAAGGAAGAAGATGTAGAAAATGACACTATGTGGTACCTGGACTCAGGAGCAAGTAACCATATGTATGGTCATAAGCACTTGTTCAAAGAAATAAAGAAAATTGAGGATGGTCATGTTTCCTTTGGAGATGCTTCGAATGTAAGGGTCGAAGGAAAAAGAACAATCAGTTTCTTGCAGAAGGATGATTTGTTAGATCAATCCTAGATGTGTACTATGTACCAAACCTCAAAGAAAATATTTTGAGTTTGGGACAACTCACAGAAAAGAGCTATTCGATTCTCATGGAAGATCGAAGCTTGCACTTAAAAGACAAGTCAGGACGTTTAGTTGCTCAAGTCTAAATGGGGAGAAATTGAATGTACAAGTTGAATTTGAGAAGCATTCAAGAAAAGTGTTTGTAAGTCAATATCGAAGACCAAGCATCCCTGTGGCATCTACACTCTAGTCATCTACATCAGGCTGGACTAAGGATGTTAGCAAAGAAAAATATGGTGAATAGACTTCCAGACGTAGAATTCGAAGGAAAGTTCTGTGAAGAATGTGTGTTTGGAAAACAGATGAGAACCTCATTTCAATCGAAGGCAAAATATCAGGCTAAAAAAATTATGGAATTGATTCACACTGACATATGTGGACCAATTACCCCAGAATCCTTCAATGGAAAAAGTACTTTATATCCTTTATTGATGATTTCTCAAGGAAAACTTGGGTGTATTTTCTAAAAGAAAAGTCAGAAGCCTTAGAAGTATTCAAAAAGTTTAAGATAATGAGGGAGAAAGCAACAGACAGGCACATCAAAGCTCTTCGATCAGATAGAGGTGGGGAGTATACTTCGACAACCTTTATGAAGTACTGTGAAGAGCAAGGCATAAGGAGATTTTAGACTGCTGCATACTCACCTCAACAAAATTGTGTGGCGGAAAGAAATAATCGAACAATCCTTGACATGGTTCAATCAATGCTTAAGAGCAAGAACACGTCGAAGGAATTTTGGGCAGAAGCTGTACAATATGCAATCTACGTTCAAATAGATGTCCACATTTGAAGTTGGGAGATTTAACACCTCGAGAAGCTTGGAGCGGACGAAAGCCAACTGTGTCTCACTTCAAAGTGTTTGGAAGTGTGGCTTATGCACATGTACCTGATCAAAGAAGAACAAAGCTGGAAGATAAGAGCCAGAAATACATACACATTGGGTATGATGAGAAAACGAAAGGTTACAGACTCTTCAACCCAACAAACAAAAAGGTGATAGTGAGTAGAGATGTTCCAGTAAACAAAGGAAGCAAGCGGGACTGGAATAACTCAACTGAAATTATGGTCGAATTACCAGATGCTATATCAAAAAACACTTCGACAGAACCAGAAGACTCTGATGATGAAGAAGGAATCTCACAGCCCAAGTTGTGAAGTTTACAAGACTTGTATGAAAATATAGAAGAAGTGCATCTCGTATATTTGTTAGCAGACACTGTAGATGTCAGTTTCGACGAAGCAATAAGAAAAAAAATGGAAGGATGCTATGAATGAAGAAATTAAGGCCATCGAACACAATGATACTTGGGAACTAGAAAAGTTACCAAAAGGAAGTCAAACAATTGGTGTGAGGTGGGTGTTCAAGAAAAAGATAAATGCACAAGGTGAAATTGAAAGATACAAGGCGCAACTTGTGGCGAAAGGATACAAGCAAAAATCAGGAATCGACTATGATGAAGTATTTGCACCTGTTGCAAGAATGGAGACAATTCGATTGCTCATATCTCAAGATGCTCAATAAAAATGGAAAATATATCAGATGGATGTCAAGTCAGCCTTTTTGAATGGCGTGCTCGAAGAAGAAGTTTATGTTGAACAACCCATTCGATACATGAAAATCAAAAATGAAGGAAAGGTGCTAAAGCTAAAGAAGGCACTTTAAGGGCTGAAGCAGGCACCACGAGCATGGAATACACGAATTGACACATACTTCAAAGAAAATGGATTTCATCAATGTCCCTACGAACATGCTCTCTATGTTGATGACTTAATTTTCTTGGGCAACAATAATCAAATGATAGAAGAATTCAAAGGCACAGTGTCACAAGAATTTGAGATGACTGACTTAAGCCTGATGAAATACTTTCTTGGTCTGGAGGTTCGACAAGAAGAAGCAGGAATGTTCATCTAACAAGAAAAATATGCAAAAGATATCCTGAAAAGATTTAAAATGGAAAGCTGCAATTCAATTTCGACTCCTATGGAACCAAGAGCAAAGCTTTCGAAATTTGATGGGGGAGAGCGTGTCGAAGCAAACAAATTTCGAAGCTTGGTGAGAAGTCTTCGATACCTCACATGCACAAGGCCAGATCTTTCGCTGAGTGTTGGAATTGTGAGTCGTTTCATGGAAGAACCAGTTTTTGCACACCGGAAAGATCTGAAGAGAATCCTTGGATATGTCCAAGGAACTGTGTCACTTGGAATGTTTTATTTGAAAGCAGAAGAATACAAGTTGACTAGCTACTCTGACAGCGATTGGTGTGGTGACATAGATGATCGAAAGAGAACTTCAGGATATGTGTTCTTCATGGGAAACACTGTATTCACCTGGCTGTCAAGGAAGAAACCCATAGTAACTCTTTCGACATGTGAAGCAGAGTATGTGGCAGCATATTGGTGCGTATGCCATGCAATATGGCTGAGAAGATTGCTGAGCAGGATGGAATCGAAACAGGAAGATGCAACAATAATTCAAGTCGATAACAAATTTGTAATCGAACTGGCAAAGAATCCAGTCAATCATGAAAGAAGCAAGCACATTGATGTTCGATTCCATTTTATTCGAGAACATGTGAAGGATGGAAGCATCGAACTGAAGCACGTTGCAAGCAAGGATCAAGCAGCATACATTCTTACAAAACCAGTGTCGAAGGAACTATTCGACAGAGGCAAGAAAATGCTAGGGATGATGGATCAAAGAAATATTTAAATTTATGGGAGAATTTCGTTAGTTAAATTCAACTTCGTCTTGGGTAGTACAAAAGGCAGATTCTCTTTGGACAGCGGGACGTTTATTCCTTAAAGATCTAGAAATAGTTAATGTTGTAACTTTTATTATTCTATCATGTGATTTTATATATAAATTACTTTGTACTCATATTAAAAGTTAGTTGGACATTTTATAAAAAAACAGTTTAAAATCCACTCCCAATTTTCTCTGCAAGTTTTATGTTGATAATTAAAAAAGAAGAAAAAATTGGAAGAAGGGAGAAAAGAAATTACATCGTGAAAGAAAGAGGGAGGGTTGGATTGTGTAATTTTTCTCTCTCTATGTGAACATATATTAGTAAGTGGTAATTGTTATTTGTTTGGTTTTAATTAATTTCAATTCCACGTGTCATATTATAAGTGGTGAATTGGAAAAGATTTGAATAGGTCATTGAGTATTATTGTCATAATATTAATAAGTTAGCTTCGGTTGTTATTATATTCCTAAAATATTGGAATCATTATCGTAATAGGGGGAACCACGCCAGAATTTTTTATCTTTGTTAGTTTTAAATTAATTAGGGTTTTTTAATAATTGGGCCTGGACTAATAATGTTTTATTAATTTATACAATTCTAATATGTCATTGTACTCCCATAATAATGAAGCTAATTAAGTTAGAATTTTAGTTTTTTTTTTTATAAATCAATTTGATCATTATAGGTAAACAATTAAAAAAATCAATCTCATTGTATGTAATTAGTTTCACTAAAATAATTAGGTTATTAGATTAATTAGATTTTCTAATCTTTTAAATAATTTATTTTGTAGTCTAATTAAATTAATTAAACTCGTTAGTTGATTAAATTGTTAATTTGTACATAAATTGATAATTACAAAAATAACTGAAAAAAATCATTCTTGTGCATAATTTTAAGGCTTCTCGATCTTAATGTCAAAATTAGTATCACTTCTTTGTAATTATCTAATCTATATATAAATCAATTTTTTTCTCTTAATCAAACTAATTCAACATTTCGTAAATAATAAGATAAACATCCTCGAGTGATTAAGTGGTTGGCTTAACGTCTTACAAATTAATTATTCAAATAAAAACACCTAAAACTCACCAAACTAACAAAAATCAATTTCTTCCTCTCACACGATTTAATTATGATAAAGATTAACATTATCAACCAAAATCAATTTCTTCGCTTAACACGATCTAATTCTAAATAAGATCAACTCTTTATCAATCAACTAGACTTAAAGCAGCTAACCAATAAAAATCCTTTTTCTTACTAACATAATCAAACCCAAGAATTTTTTTTTCAATAAAGGATTTTTCAGTTACTTTCTACATGGATATGAAAACTTCGCATACCATCACTCAATTTTCAAACTCAGGAAAGTTCAAAACCATTCAAAAGAAATTTAACACGATTCTATAAAAAACACTAATAAAATAACTTCAAACTACGAAGGACTCTGATTTCTTCTTAAGAAGATACGTAGGCACACAGTTGAAAAACTAAGGCGAGTCCACTAACTAAAAAAAACTGATTTTCCCTTTTTTCTTTCTTGTATATGATATATGATAGAATAAATGACATAAACGGACAAGGAGTAAAATAAAGAAGTATTCCCTCTAAGTCATATGTCTAAAAAGGATTCCCTTGAGTACAATGGAGGTAAATAGTGTCTAACACCTTTTCTTTATCTAATCAAATCTCGAATCCATCAATCTCTAAACAATTAGAGTTTTTTCGTTCCTTTCCCGTCCTTAGAACAAATAAGTAGTGGTGACGACTCTCTTATTTTTGCCGGTTACAACACATAGGTACATTTTCAGTACCTGGTGCGACTACTGTAACGCCCGTTAATTTAATTAATTATTTAAATTATTCTCTAATTATTTGTTGAATTGTATGAGACATTGCTTTTATGTTGCTAAGTTTTTATTTAGTTGATTAATTAAGTTGATTAATTAAGTTAATTAATAATATTAATAAATAATATTAGAAAGTATAGAATATTAGTAGAATATTAGTTGGACCTATTTTGGTGGTTATAAGTAGTAATAGGTGGGGTGTGTATGTTGAGCCCATTAGGAATAATAATATTATTATTAGGTTTAGCTATAATAATAAGAAATTAGGTTAATTAGAAAGGTGAAAAAGAGTCTTAGAGCAGTACATGAGAAGTTACAGAGAAGAGGAATAGGAAAAGAGGCAAATCCAGGACAATCATAGAGTTACAGAACAACCTTCAATCCAAGGTAAGGGTGGAGTTCTGACTCTATAATGGGAATCACTATAGACACGATTTAAGAGTTTTAATTTTAGATTTTTTAAAAGGCAACCTTCAGTAGCACCAATCCCTGTAGTTTTTGAAAGCGTTGCCTTTTAAAAATTCTAAAATTAAAACTCTTAAACCCTAAAATAATAAAACACGATTCTTTCTGCTACTCACCTTCGTCTCTCAACAGTTCTCAGCGTTTTCATCTCCAAGCATCTGCCGTAATCACCTTCCAAATCCCTCCGTCCAACTTCATCGTGAATCACCATCATCCATCATGATTCACACTCCCTTCGCCATCTGTTCAACCATCTTTCTCCAACAGCCTTCAATTATGTCAAATCGCCGCTCAGACTCCCAGTAGCATACCCCTCCGTTCTCGTTCAAGCACCTTCCGACTCAAGCTAGGAATCAATACTCTCGTATTTATTTCAAGCTTCTGCTTCCACAATCTCATCTGCCATTGTTGGTAAGTTGCAAGTTCATTCTTATTTGTGTTAAACTATTATGCTGTGGAAATGATGCTTCTGCCGATTTTGATCTTATTATTGAGTTATGAACTGTTATGTTGAAAAATCGCATGTTGAATTCTGCTCAGTTTGATGTACTGGTTTAAATCTGTGAAAAAATTTTGTTCACAATATAATGTTGTGTTGGTGTCGAGATATGATGTATTTCGTATCAATATCATGCTCGTGTTAAAAATGAATACCGCTTTGGATGCATTGATACGTTTATTATGAGAATCATGTTCGTATTAAATATGAACACCACACTTTGCTTTGTTCTGAGTCGGTTTTGAAAGTTGGTCGAAACATAAGACGTGACTATGCTATTTGCATTCAAATCTGTGTGATCAGGAAGTTCGAGTTTGTATGCCTTGCTAATCTTTCATGATTACCTTTGCGTTGTTTAATTGTTAATTGGCTTCAAATTCGTTTGAAATCGGCATTGCGTTCATGTTTAGATTGTGATTCCATTTTGTATTTATGGCATGAGTTTAGACTTTGGTTTTCGTATGTGATGTTTGTTAATTTTGTTCTCATTTGTGTTATATGCGTACTTTATAATATTGTAGCGGTGAAACAACCACGCAAGTATAACTTTTAGTGTCATCTCTAAATTATTGACTGTTACATAATATGTTTGTGTTTTCTCAGATTGTAGGCATTGACTTTTGGTATCTTATATATTCACTTTTGCAATATTCTCATTTGAACTTCATTTTGTATCCAGGTTACACATTTTGGAGACAAAATTATACTTGAAGACCTTCGATTTTGAATTAAGTTGGTTGGACAAGTCAAAATTCTTGTTTTACACTAAGGTTAGAGAACCTTCTATGTTTTATATTCCATTAGAAATTGCTCCTATGCTCCTATGATTTTCTATGAATATGCCTAATTGGTATTAATCTTTTTAGTCTCTGTCCTTTTTTTAAGTATTGCTTTTGTTTAGCTTACTTAATAATAAGACCATGGATAAAAAATGGATGTCTGTCAATCGATTATCCAAAGAGTACGATAATTAGGTATTGAAATTCATTAAGTTTGTTATTGAACACGCCGAAGATGCCAATTGAATGAAATGTCCTTGCTTAAGTTGTTGTTTTGTGGGTCGGGTTGACGCAGTTGGGTTGCAATCGAATTTATTGAGGCGTGGAATTGATCGAAGTTACACATGTTGGTTATTCCATAGTGAGAAAAGTAACGAGAATGTTGAACCGGGGGATAGTACGACATATGCTTCAGACGACAATGGAATAGATACATACGATTGTGATAAAGTCGAAGAGATTGCAGAAGCACTTGAAGAAGATCTTCAGGATTATCCCAAAATGTTTGAGAGGTTGGTAAGCGATATAGATAAACTATTGTATAAAGGTTGTACTAAATTTATAAGACTGTTTGCGGTATTAAAGATGTACAACTTAAAGGCGGGAAATGGATGGTTGGATAAAAGTTTCACAGAGTTATTAGCCATTATGAGAGATATGCTTCCGGAGGATGATGTTCTTCCTAATCGAACCTATGAGGCCAAAAAACGGTTGTGCTCTATTGGCACGAGCCATGCTTGTCCAATTGATTTCATTTTGTTTCAAAACGAATATGCATCATTAAATGAGTGCCCTAAATGCGGTTTATCTCGATATAAGAAAAAATTATCTCCAACAAAAGTCTTATGGTATTTTCCTATAATTCCGATATTTAGACGCATGTTTCATAGTGAAATCGATGCAAGACACTAAACTTGGCATGCAGATGAAAGAATTATTGGTGGAAAGTATCGACATCCGGCAGATTCACCATAGTGGTAGAAAATTGATAATTATTTTCCTGATTTTGGAGAAGAAGCAAGAAACCTTTGCTTCGTGTTATCTACAGATGGAATGAATCCACATGGTCTTCAAAGTATCTAACATGCCACATGGCCTGTGATTTTTATGATTTATAACCTACCTCCATGGCTATGTATGAAGTGTAAGTATATGATATTATCTATGTTAATTTCTGGGCCTAAACAACCAGGGAATGACATAGACGTATACTTGACACCTTTGATCGAAGATTTAAATATTTTGTGGGAGAATGATGTGGAGGTTTATGATGGATATAGGAAACAAAGTTTCAATTTAAGGGCGATGTTATTTGGCACAATTAATAATTTTCCAGCAAACGAGAATCTACCAGGGTATAGCATTAAAGGTCAAAAAGCGTGTTCTGTTTGTGAAGATGGAACCGATATGACACGACTGGACCAGTGTCATAAGAATGTCTTTCTAGGTCACTATAGATTCTTAAATTATAAACATCACTACCGTGGGTGGAGAAAACCATTCAATAGAGACACCAAACAACTTAAAGCTCCACCTGCATTGTCAGGTGACCAAATTTTTGAAAAGGTAAAAGATATGTGTACTCAGTTTAGCAAGACTTTTGAACATACGATTGTTAAAGGTGGGTGGAAGAAGAGGTCGATTTTTTTTAATTTCCATATCGAAAGTCTTTGTATGTGAGACATTTTCTCGATGTTATGCATATTGAAAAAATGTATTTGAAAGTGTTATTGGTACGTTACTCAATATAAATAGAAAGTCTAAGGATGGCCTTAGAGTAAGGGAGGACATGGTAAAGATGAGAATAAGAACTGAATTAGGACCCGTGAAGAAAGGAAGAAGAACATATCTACCACCTGCTGCTCATACTCTATCTAGAAAGGATAAAAAATGATTGTGTAAGTTTCTAAGTGAAGTTAAAGTTCCTGAAGGATACTCTTCAGATATCATAAGACTTGTGTCTATGAAAGACCTCAAGTTAAAGCGTTTAAAGACACATGATTGCCATGTCATAATGGAACAGTTTCTACCAATAGGTATACATTCTATTTTTCCATAAAAAGTAAAGAAGAACAATAACTAAATTGTGTTTTTTCTTCAGGTCAATTTGTAGTAAGGTGATCGATACTGAGATCTTACCGACATTGCAAAAAGAAATAGTTATTACTTTGTGTGAGCTTGAAATGTTTTTTCCTCCCTCATTTTTTGACATAATGGTACATCTAGTTGTTCATCTTGTAAAAGAGACACAGTTATGTGGACCAGCTTATATGAGATGGATGTACCTTCATGAATGTTATATGAAAATATTAAAAGGGTACGTGAAAAACCGAAGTCGTCCAGAGGTTTATATTGTTGAACGATACATTGTTGAAGAAGCGGATGAGTTTTGTACTGAATATTTGTCCAATGTACAATCTATTGGACTCTCTAAATCTCATATTTTCGAAAAAATAGAAGGTAAAAAATAAATTGGAAATAAAATTGTGACAATATCTAGGGATGAATGGGATCACATGCATTTGTATGTTCTGTATAATGACAATGAGGTTGAGCCATGTGGGTAAGGATGGAGTTGTTAAAAAAGAGGTTCAATTTTTTTTTGAGAAATGTGTAAGTATAACATTAATTTTTTAATTAAATCAAAAGTTTATTAACATATAATATTCATGCTTTTTCAATATTCATATGAATTTCAGGAGAATTTGTCTCAGTCTATATCTCCAGATGACTACAATGATTCCAGGAGCATACTTAGTCGAGCATTAGATGTTCGTGAGTATTCCGGTCGGGTGAGGGGTATGGGACATGGGGTTACTCCAACATCCTTGACAAAGAAAAATCCAAAGACAAAATCCCCTAGCAATAAAGAACTGCATGCAAAGTTGCATGCATTAGAAGATGAAGTTCGTGAATTGAGAAAGGAAAAAGAAAAAGATCAATCGGAAAGGGAAGCTTTAGGTTTTAAAGATACTAGTGACAAAGCTAGTGTCAATTGTAATGTTCAACCGAATACTCCCGAGGTAATTATATATATCATTATGAAATTAAATTAGTGTAATTTATTTAATTGACACACACACACACACACACACACACACACACACACACACACGCAGACACAGACACAGACACACACACACACATACACACACACACACACACACACACACACACACACACACACACACACACACACACACACATATATATATATATATATATATATATATATATATATATATATATATATATATATATATATATATATATATATATATATATATATATATATATATATATATATATATATATATATATATATATATATATATATATATATACACACACACACATTAACAATGTCATATTTATTATTGGTTTTAGGGCATTTCATCATGTTAACTCTAATTATCGTCACCGACTTATCGGATGGTTGGCAAGGGGAAAGTTCATAATACTTTGGGAGAAGTACTTCACCATAAACCTCTCCCTGATGGATATTTGAAGGTATCAATTGATATTGCTTTAGAGGGGGTGCATTATTACCAATATCAGACGATATTTTAGATGCAACATTAGTTGGAGAGGTAGTAGGTGCGTATGTTGCATGGCCGTCAAGCCTCATTCGTGTAGATGATTAGGTATGCTTAAAACAATTATGAACCTTTGAGTATTCAAAGTTTTTATGAGCATTTTACGTACATTTTTTTTACATGGTAATGTTAGACTCCTATAAAACCGAAATCAAAAGATAAGGGGATGATGCGGCAAACCGAGTCGTTGCATCAAAAAAAGAGGTATAACACAATTATATGATATTTATGCATATAATGATCTTATACTTCACCTAACTAATTATATGATATTTAGATGCATGCTAAGGAGATTGAACAAGTCAGTAGGGGTAAGAAGACCGCGGCTAGCAAAAAACCTACTTCTCAGTATAGGTCGTGCCTTCGGACATATATAGGAATAACAAATATTCCAATTAGTGGTACTCATCTTATACCTATGCCGGTAGACATTTTTGGTTATGAATACATGGAAGAAATTGGTAGAGAAGATATGGATCAAGTTTTTCAACATTTGACTTTAGGCCTCAGTGTTATCGATACATACATCAGGTATACTCCGATCAACTTTGTTTAATTAAATAAAGAACTTATTTACTGATTTCAATGAATATAGTCTAATTTTAATGATGTTTTTATTTAAGGTTTTTGTATGACAAAGTGATGCGCCCGCGTGGATTGGAAGAAATATTCGCTTTCTTAGCTCACAACACCGTCAACGCAAGGTTAATCGTAATAAAACCATATGATGTCATATCGTATGTACTCGGTTTATTTGTGGCCAGCAAAGATACACAATATTTGTTCTTTTTTCCATATAATATTGGAAACGGGTTAGATTTTCATCCTAACTTCATCTATTATAATTTTTCGTTTTTTTACGTTATGTAGAAACTTTCCATCTAACATTTGTTTAATTTTACAGTGGATAATAATTGTTGCTTGCGATTGATCCTTAAAGAGAAATTGTATACTATTTAGATTCGTTATACAATGATTGGACAACATACCCAGATTTGAAGAAGATGATTGATACGTAAGTGAGATTATTCTAAATATTCGTGTGCATATTTATTTATCTATGTGAGATTGTTCTAAATAGTCGTTTATATTTTATTATAGCGTTCTACAAGCTTTTCGATCACAAAGAGGTATGTTTTCACAATTTTGATTATATTAGTGATGATACTTGATAAAACAAGTTAAGGGGCATATCCTGATATATATCTATATTTTCTTTCCATGTGTAGTGTCCATGTTAACGTAGTGGTATGGACTGCAGTTATTTCATCTTGGGGTTTATGAAAGAAACGCTTCTTTTGGACCGAATAGAGATTCTGTCCACGGTATGAATTTCTAACTTAGGAATTATTTTAATATTTCTCATAAAATGGCATAGTGTTTTAACTAAATCACATACTATGTTATATTACTATGTAGTACTTTGACGAATTCAATTGTGCTCATTACTCAAAAGATCAATTGGATGAACTTATGGAGGAATGGTGTTAATTCATTATAAAGTTGAGAATTTTATAAGGTATATTGTCTTTGTTTCATTGATGAGAATTTTGAGTATAACTTTCGAGTTTTGAGTACAAATTTGAATAAAGTTTTGTTTTATCATGGTATGAATTTCGATCTTTTGGTTTTGTTTTAGGTTATAGGTGAATATGTAGAAGATAGAGCTAACAAGTTCATTGTTGTTGTTTTTTAGAAATTCTCCAAGATAGTAACATGTAGATTAAACATCAATTTAGAATTTTTTAATTTTCAAGTTGTTGTTGTATATATCATCAATTATATATATGTAGATTTTTTGTATATGCAAATTTGGTGCATATTTATTGGATTGAAGCTACCAAATCTGGTGTAAAATATGGTGAAAACATGGTGCAAAATCTGGTGAAAATTTATTGTAGATATTGGACAGCGCTTTCTGTAAGTGAAAATAAGTCTAATATTTAAAAAAAACTGTGAACGTTAGACAACGCTTAATGAGAAAAGCATTGTCTAAAGTGGGGAAAAAGCGCTTCCTAAAGTGGGGAAAAGCACTGCCTAAAATGGGAAAGTGCTGCCTAAAGTGGGGAACAGACAATGCTTTTAAAGAAAAGCGTTGTCTAAAGCAATGCCTAAAATATAACCAAAAGTGCTGCTAAAGGGGTACTTACCAAAGCACTCTCTAAAGAGAAAGTGATGCTAAAGGGGTGCATAAGAAAGAGCTTTTAAATTAAATGTGCTGCCTAAAGGAGACATATAACATCGCTTTTACATTAATCCAAAGCGTTGCATTTACTTATAGCAGTGCTAGTTTAGGCAACGCTTTAAAGCGTTGTCTATGGCCAAAAAAGCACTGTCTATGTGCTTGTTTGGAATAGTGAATTACGATGAATAATATGTAGGAATTTGGGTTGCTGTAACTGATGTATGTGTAACTGTGTTCCTGAATGATGTTGAATTTTGTTTGCAAAATTGTTGATAATAACTGTCTGTGTTAGATTTTATATATAATTGTTTTTAAGTTGCTATGTCGATGTAATACTGTGTTGTATCATGTTGTTGTGAAAATATTGTTACTCGAAGGAAGATTTGGAGACTTCTGGGTTTGAATCAGTAAGTTTGTGATGAAGCTGCATGAGAAACACTCTATTTTGGGGGGCACAAGTCTTGTGCCGGACGACACAAAATGAAGGAACGTGCCGAGGGGCACACGAGCATGCCGACCGGCATGATATGGAGAGGAGTGTGACAAGTGACACAACTCGATGGTGATCGGTATGGTTTGTTTTAGTTTGTTCCGAGGGGAACAGTTGGGTGACGAGGGCACACCTTAAACATCTATTTTCTGTTTTCTTTTGTTTTCTTTGTTTCCTGTATGTTTGTTACCTCATTCTATTAATTGGTTAATAGCAGAGATTCAGTACACAAGTTGTAGAACTGACTTATTTAGTAGAGTAATGAAATAGATGATTGGATTGGATCATATAGTTAGTAAGTATTTAGCAGGATGACCTTAACAGTAATAGTAGGAAAGTAATAACTGAAAAGCCTCTATAAATTAAAATAGCAGTAGAGGTAAATTAGTGTCAGAAAATAATAGCTTCTTTGATTCAACTAAAAATGATTGGTTAGTGGAATATTTTAGTGGAATTAAATTAATAGGACTTGGTCAATAATAGTATTAGTATATATATAAGTTGATGTGATGTTGTTGTTATTAATTGTTGAAGTTGCAGGTGAATATATTGTTTTATTGCCTCTATTTATCGGCTAAGACTAAGTTGTAGGCTTATGGACAATGTTGGATTGTGTTGAGTTGTTATTGAATTATTATTGTTGTTGTTACTATATTCATACTATTGTCACATACATAGCATATCAAGTTGGGAGCTCATGCTCGGTAAGTTGGCCTGGATTGGCAAACATAAACTTGAAGGCTTATGCCTTGTTGATGCCTCTATTAATTGGTAGATTATTAAGTTGGGAGTTTTGCTATGTTGGTACCACATGTATGTGCATAATAACAAGTCACATTTCATGTTCCATCCTGTGTTGTTGTATGGGTGAATTGATTATGTTAAATGTTGTTAAAGAGATGCGAAGTGGTGATTTTGTATGAACTGATTCTAATATACTATTTATCATGTGTTTTATTTTATTATTTGATATCTCACACCTTCTATTTGAATGTTGCCCTTATGTTGGTAACGTGCAGGTAACCCAAAGTGAAGGTTGTTTACCTTCAGTAGTTCGAGTCGGTGTCGTTGCTCTGATACGTAACACTCGGGGGGATGAATGCTTGTTGCTTTATTGTTGATTTTACTTCTGTTGATGAATTTTAAGTTATTTTCATTAAGTACTGGTTGTTTTGAAGTTGTTTTCAGTTGGACAAAGATGTTATGTCAATTGAGTTGAAAATTATGATTTCCGCTGCATAAGTAATAAAGTTGTTTCTGTTTAAAGACTAAAATTGTTGTTATTTGTTCATCCTATGATTTAAGTGTTATGTATCCATTTTATATGCGATTAAATGTCGGTGTTATAAGTTGAAAGTGTAGCATCTCATGTAAATTTTGAAATTTTGTAACTTTGATTCTATATAATTTGTTGGATAGAAATGGGGTGTTACATTAGTTGGTATCAGAGCAGGTCGGCCAGTCCGACCAAGTTGTCGACTCGTAGATTTGTCTAATAATCGAGCATTGTTAACTTGGGTTCTAACCATTGTTTATGTTGTAGCGATAAGTTGAGATGGTTGGAAGGAATGATGCTGCACTTGCTGCTGCTTTGGAAGTGATGACGCATGCTATGGAGAATCAGCGAATGTTGACGGGAATGCTAGATCTCGTGGATTGGCGACCTTCCAGAGGGAGAATCCGCATACCTTCAAGTGTAAGTATGATTCTAGCAGGGCATTGGATTGGTTGAATGATATTGAGAGAATCTTTTGTGTGATGGACTTCACTCCAGCGCAGAAGGTTTAATATGGTACTCACATGCTAGCAGTCGAGCCTGATGACTGGTGGTTAGAGACTTGTCAGAAATTGGAAGCCGCAGGTGAAAATATCACTTGGGTTATGTTCCGTAGGGAATTTCTACGAAAATATTTCCCTGAAGACGTTCATGGTAAAAAGGAAATTATGTTTCTTGAGCTGAAGCAAGGAAATTAAGTTGGCTAAGTTTTACCTGCATCAAGTTTGAGAACGGGTTGCACCCAGAGTTCATGAAGGCAGTTGGATACCAGAAGATTCGTGTCTTTGCCGATTTAATTGATAGTTGCCATATTTATGACGAGAATAATAATGCTCATTATAAGATTATCAATGAGAAGTGGGGTAAGCACTAACATAACCATGGTAAGCCTTACGATGCCCCAGCTGGTAAAGGTAAACAAAAATTTGCTCAGGGTCAGAGAACTAGTGTGGGAGATGCTCCTGCTGGTGTGGTTTTTTTCAAATGTGGAAAACCTGGTCATAAGAGCAACGTGTGTATTGCTGAGGTGAAGAGATGTTTTCATTGTGGTAAGATGGGACATGCTATATTTGAGTGCAAGCATAAATATATGATTTGTTTCAATTGTGGTGAAGAAGGACACATTGGTAATCAGTGTCAGAAACCAAAGAAGGCGCAAACCAGTGGAAAAGTGTTCGCTTTGGCTGAGAACCACATGGCTAAAAAGGATAGACTCATCACAGGTACATGTTTCATTAATAATACTCCTTTAATTGCTATTATTGATACTGGTGCTACTCATTGCTTTATTGTTGCTGATTGTGTTGAAATATTGGGTCTTATGTTGTCTTCTATGAATGGAGAGATGGACTTCGATACTCCAGCTAAGGGATCAATGACTACTTCTTTTGTGTGTTTAAAGTTCCCGTTGTCGATCTTCGACAGAGACTTTACCGTTGATTTAGTTTGTTTGCCTTTAAGTGGGTTAAATGTGATCTTAGGTATGAACTGGTTAGAGCATAACTATGTTCATATTAACTGTTATAACAAGTCAGTGAGGTTTTCTTCTCATAAGGAGGAGGAAGCTGGTATATTACTGCTAGACAAATGAGACAGTTGATGCAAGAAGAGGCTCAGATGTTCTCATTGATGGCGTCGCTGTTTATCGAGAATCAAGATATAATTAAGGAATAACAAGTAGTGCTTGAATTTCCTGAAGTTTTCCCTGATGCAATTACTGATGTACCGCCAGAGAGAGAAGTCGAATTTGATATTGATCTTGTACCTGGTATCAGACCTGTTTCTATGGCACCATACATGATGTCTGCATCTGAATTGTCAGAATTAAATAAGCAATTGGAAGATTTACTTGAAAAGAAGTTTGTGAGACCAATTGTATCGTCGTGGGGAGCTCAAGTGTTGCTAGTAAAGAAGAAAGATGGAAGTATGAGGCTTTGTGTTGATTATAGGCAATTGAATA